TCCTGCTGCTGCCATCTGAAGATAAGATTCTAGAGAGCCTTAACCTTTGTTCATGCCTGCTCTATTTTTCCATTATTCCCAGCCAAAACCCACACATACCAGCATAAACCTTCCAAGTATTTCCAGCTGACCTTTGGATTTTGGCACATTGAAGTATCTCTCATGTATATGCAGTACACCTAGCAATTGCATCACTATGCTGAAAGTTGTGCCATGTCATTATGCATTATACTCAGTTGGAGAACTACTCCCAGGAATCTTAGAGCTGTAAGGAAAGTTGTTAATGATCTCATCTCATGATATGCAAACTAAGCATTCATGCCTCAGGAAAGACTCTTTAGTAGGAACATGTAATTGTGTGTTACTATTCTACTCTAATAATTTCCCTTCTACACTTCCGTGATTTCACTGTTTGCTTCTTTAAATTAACAACTCCATGGAATTAGAAACTGGCAACTTCTGTCCTTAGCAGCTTCTCCTCATTTGTCCCACTTCCCACAGGGGTGTGGACACAGGTGGATGTTTCTCTTTAATGCCTGACAGACATATGATGGCTAGTTACAACATGACAGCAAGCTGCTACAGCAGTGATCACAAAAATCACAGAATCACAGAATTACTGAGGTTGGAAAAGACCTCTGAGATCATAAAGTCCAACCTATGACCTAACACCACCATGTCAATTAGACCATGGCACTAAGTGCCATGTCTAGTCTCTCCTTAAACACCTCCAGGGATCGTGACTTCACCACCTCCCTGGGTAGATCATTTCAATGTCTAATTACCCTTTCTATGAAGAAATTCTATCTGATGTTTAACCTAAACCTCCCCTGGTGCAGCTTAAGACCATCTCCTCTCGGTCTGCCACTAGTTGTCAGGGAGAAGAGACTGATCCCTACTGTGATACAACCTCCTTTCAGGGAGTTGTTGAGAGTGATAAGGTCACCCCTGAGCCTCCTCTTCTCCCGGCTAAACAACCCCAGCTCCCCTAGCCACTCCTCATAGGACTCGTGTGCCAGACCCTTCACCAGCTCCATTGCCCTTCTCTGGACTTGCTATAGCACCAAAATGTCCTTCTTGAAGTGAGGGGCCCAGAACTGGACACATCCCCTCAAGGTGTGTCCTCACCAGTGTGGAGTGCAGACTCAGCTGCTGGACTGTTTGCACAGCTTTGCCTAACCTCCTTCAAGTGCCCTGAGCTGAGCAGCAGCTTTGTTGCTCTGCAAGTTTCTGCTCAGATAGCTTAGTAAGGTCTTGCCCTTAGCTGCAAGCCACAGGATTGTACTTTGAGCTTTTTTGCTTCATTTAAGTATTTAATATCAGGAACTTTCTTCTGGAAATTCCAGTGACAAGTGACTGCCAAGCCTTGACAATGAGCTCTTGAGCTTTTACTATTGCCTGAACAGTTCACAGGGAAAACGAAAAGCAAAATTTTGACAACTTCAGAAAAACGTTGACAAACATGAGGAATGTTTTACCTCCATAAAGCAGAGGTAAAAGGAAGCAAATTGTGTGATTTGGGATTTTCTAACCTTTCTGCCCCTCATGAAGCTGAAAAGTGGTGTAAAAAAATGGATTAAAATGTTACTACCTCAGCAAGTAGTACAGGCAGTTCTCATACTGATGGATAGGCAGTATCTTGTTCAGACCAGAGAAGGGAGGAATAATGAGCAAAGAGTTGAAGCACTTGAGACAGGCCAAACCCACTGAGCAGGCAGTATCAGCAGACAGTTGTTTGACTCTGGGATTGAGCAAACTAATCTTCTGACATTGAAGCTAGGTTAACATCCAAGGAAGGACAGTTTCCTCCAGGATTTACCAAGGAGATTAGCCCAACAACTAAACTCTGTGTGGGAAGGGACCTCTCAAACCTGAAGCAGTTTTATTGAATCTTCATGAGTTTTTGAAATTTGGTTAAGAGGCCTATTCTGGTTCTCCAGCTCCAATAAGTACTCCAAAATCTCTCACATCTGAGGGTGGACTCTAGAAGACAGGCCTGAAAGGTACAATCAGAATTTTCTTCCTCAAGTGCTATCCACTAGACATTACTTAAAGTTTGCTATATCATGAAGATAAACTGTTTCTTCTTTGAGTTTGCCAAACTCCATACTCAAATTAGGAATTAAAATAGATTGCAGAACTTAGATTCTTTCTATACCTGTCTTAATATTTCTAGAAAAACCTTACATTTTACCTGTGTAAACAGTCATCTTTCAAGTTTAATAGAACTATTTTAAAGAGTAGATGCTTGCTAATTTTTAATAGTTTATTTATAGCTCAAGAATTATGATTTTGGAATAGGGCTCATTAGAAAATACCTTAAAAATCTCTTTTCAAAATCTGTTAACAAAATAATGACTGTTATCTTTAATATTAAATTCTTGTCAAACCAGTTACAAGTCATCAACCAAAATACCAGTATTTATCTGCAGAAATAACTGAGCTATAGAATACAAAGCAATATAAGTACCCATGAATATATAAATACTATTTAATAATACAATTGTAATTAAACACTTTTCAAAATAAATTTAGTGAACAGTTCCTAGGACTTGCTCAGTCTCCACACAGTCATATCTGAACTGAGCTGAGCTTCTGCTATCTTCAAAGCAATTTTCTGGTACTGGGCACCATTCATTGTTTGATTCATACTCAGCACACTCTCTTCTCGCTCCTTCTGAAGCTTCTTTCTGAATTGCTGAACTCCTTCCTCAGTGTCCAGTAAAGAAGCCACAGCAGCATCATTGATTTTCTTGTCAGGCTTATTCCCCCATGTCAAACTGTTTTCAGCTTTAGTTTGTTTTGAGAAAAAAGAACTCTTCGAGATGAGCATCTCTTTTTCCAGAGCCAGTGCTAACTGTTCAGTAAGTGCAGCTTTGCTTGCAGATCTCAGGAATTTTATACCACAGCCTGGTGGGAGAATTCTAGTAAGACTGTGAAGGCACTGGAACAAGACAGTCAGATTCCTGTAAAACAAGATTATTGCAATCATTATTATTATTGCTACCTTATATCTTTAAGATGGAAAATAAAACAGAGGTACTTGAAATAAAACTTTTGCTGATTATGGTTTTAAGTATTATGTGCACTGCACACACAAGAGTGAGCAAGGGCTTACTAATGGCATGCACACCAGACACTGTGTGCCAACAGAATGGGCACTAAGCAAACTTCTGCAACATAATTTTACGCTACAATGTATGCCCATTAGTAGGATTACATGTGCATCACTTGTTTCTTTAAGCAGCAATGCATTACATGTGAAGGCCACATATAATAGCACAAAGGAAATGTGTTTGCTGTCAGGTCTACATTTAGAGGCAGAAAAAAACCTCACAGATATTCACAGGTCATCACTATCAGTAGGTATGTATATGCATATTAGGTGGCCTACAGCTTGTCTTTTTTAAATGGTCACTGGAGGGGGAAAGCTGCACTTAAAACCAGACATTCAAAGTTATTAAGAAACCAAGATAAAATAGTGCTGGTAATCATTAGGAAAGCTACTCTCCTGGACAGCAGTGTAGCATATATAGCACAGTGACATATTCCTTGTTCTAAGAGGAGGGCAGAGTTTGTCAAAGTCTTATTTCCAGTGTTTGTCCTGATAATCAAACAAATAAAACCTCCACACAAAAATCCCCAAAAGAATCCTTTAGTAGCTAGTTTTCTCACACAGGCCGTAAAGGCATTTTTCCTTAAACTAATTCTATTTAAATTTAGTTGCCTTAACATTCCATAACTTATAACAGATACAGTTTATTTTGGTTCTGAAAGGCTGTAAAAAAGAAGTCTGTAGCTCCCACCTATCACAGAAATATCCTAGCTGGACGAAAGATCAATCCAAAGACAGGAAAAAAAAAAGACACAGCAATCATAGTTACATCACAAACATGCAGCTCACTATTAATGCAAAATGGGATAAAAAGCAAATAGTATCAAGTACACTAACTTTCAAAAGGAACCAAAAGTACTGAGACAATTTTACTGATTGATTTCTTAAAGTCAGCCTTTTCCTCTTATATAAAGGAAATCAGCTCCAATTTGAGTAAAAGACTGAACCTCACTATAAGACAGAGACTCTTAAGAGATATACCTTTATTTTATTTTTTAGTTTGAATGCCTGAGGACAGCAACACTTACCAATATTCAAGAAGTACTTTTTATGTTAAAAGCCTTAGCCAGCTAAATCATAAATCACATCAGCAGTATTAACTTGCTCAGCCTGGTTTAGGAAACTTTAAAAACATTTGTCTAAGAATCCACATAAAAAAGGAAAATCATTGAGACTCTTCAGATTATTTCCTTTTCATAACCATTGGAGATAGGAAATAAATAGAGCAGAAACATGTCCAAAATGAGACTAAATTTATGTTGCAGTACTAAACTAAAAAATGACCTAGCAATAAATTTAAATTTAGTATAACATGTGGTCTGTGGTTTGGTTGACTTTTTGATTTAAGGATTTTTTTAAAATCAACACATGGTGAATAAAATATTACATATTATACTAAGAATGACATAGGAAAGAAAAAGAATCTAAAATTATGATGCAGCGAAATGAAGAAATAGTACCATGCAGATATTAATGGAGACTAAACTTATTTGTAATTCAATGTTCTAGCCTAGACAAAATTGAATACAGTTCAGGTTCTGCCCTAGTTCTGATCTGAAAATAGTTCTGTTATTGCTGATTGTTATATTATCATATTGGAAACCTATTGGTTATGATTTTGGCTGCTGTTTATGGTACCAGGAAGAAACAGTGTAAAGATAAAAACATCTGTGAAAGATTAATACACTCTACTTTTTGAGCAATTTTACCTGCAATATATTATTAGAACTCCTTCAAATGGACTTTTCAGGGTCCAGTTAAAAATTGTACCATACACATTTCCTGCTTTATGACAGAACACATGGTCATGGCATTCCTTGAATGGTGTGCACTCCATTGCTCCTAGCAACCAGGAGTTTAATGGAGTCAATGTGCAGTCAGAAGACACAATCTGAAAGGAGAATTTCACAGATACTGCAAGGACAGCAAGTATATCTTCCATGGAACCTGCAAGAAAAGACAGTAAGATATTTGACTTAAATATTTTCATCATGCTGCATCCATTCAATGTGCTTAGATATTTGGCTCACACTCTGAAGTTTTTGTGAAGCATTTCAACCCACATTCAGCCATTCTTTGGGTATCTTGTATCTCTTATATCTTCTTCTGTCAAGCAAAGCAGTTGATGAATGGAGCACTACCAATATAACAAAAGCTCTTAAGATAAACATCACCTTGCCAAAAGAAGACTATTAATAGCCTCCTGTGACAGTAAGATGACCTGTTGGCTTTAGCCAGTCACACAGCATTAAAGGAAGAAAAATTTAAATTCATTGCAAACAATCAAAAGGATATTTCACTACATGAGCAAAAGCCCAGTTCAAAATCAATTCCATCAGGAATATTAAAAGAAAAAAAATCGAATGACCTCAATAGACATGTAGATGAGGAAAAGCTTCAATTGCTTTCATATTATTTAAGTGGTAATATTATATCAGAAAAAAACCCTATGTATCTGATTACGTTATTTTATTTATGGAAAAAACATAGGCTTCAGTATTCAGTACTCAGACTTATCTTCAAAATTATCCTTTCCAGATACCCTTCAGCACCAATGCTAGCAGAAAACCTTACAGCAACTTGCTTAACACTTTGCCATTCTGAAAAATGTTCCATCTTGTATTTCACCTAGCTTTCAGTTCCCAAGAGGTCTATGCAGTTTGTGTCCAAAGAGACAGACGTCATTACACTTTGAAAACTTAGTCTGGCATCATCTAAAAAAGAAGAATCAAATTTATATATTTATGGATCCAAAGTATATAAATCCATTTACCTGTACAGAAACTATTATCCCTTAGCATCTTTACTGAATATTTTCCATTTGAAATATCTTCCAGACTTAATAAAATTTTCCCACAGAGTAGAGTAATCTTTTTGCTCTCCTGCAAACAATCATTCTGATGCTTTTCCTTCCTTGCATGTAGGACAACCATGCAGCACACATGATGGAATGCCAGTAAGGGTGAAAGGCTGGTAACAGCAATGACTGTCTTTGCTCTGTTCTGCTGGACCCTTGAAGATCCCTTAGGAAACTCTTTTTTCAGATCTCCCTTGCTGTGTAAGTCCAATTTCAACTTTTTTGGAGGAGGCTCAATTTGACACGAGGAGACAGTCAATGCTGAGAAAGCTTTGTTCAGCTTAATGATTTTGTTTTGACACTTGATAATTGGAGAAATCGAAGACAAGTCTTGATCCCTCACTAAAGATAAACTGACATCACTCAGTGACCTGTGAAAATCCATATAATATGACAAATTACCACAACTCTGCAGGTATATACAGACATTCAAGACTACCACAAATTGCAATACCATTCCAGATGAAGTCACAGACTGTGCCAAGAGTTTAAGTCCTTCACATGACCTTTTCATGTAAGCTGGGTATAAAGACTTCCAAAATGTGGACTGAATTTTTGAAGAGTTTCTAGGAGTTAGATACCTCATTTCAACTGAAAGAATTTGGGTGTTTAAGTCACCCAGAAAAAAAAGTTTAAAATTCTACATAACCTATGCAGATACTCTATGACATTTATAAATTATTCTTAAAGATTTCACTTTCTTTTTAATAAAAAAATACAGAAAGCATCTATATTTTTATAGATACTCAAACCAAATTGAATGCAAATTAAAATAAAAGGTTTAAAAATACCATTACCTTAAACATGCAGGAATTTCCTGAAATGCATGAAGTATTTATTCAACACAAGGCTCTTTCAATGAAATACTAATATTACTGTTTCAAGTCCTCTCAATGAGTATTTTATTCTGTCAATCAATTTAACCTCAAGATGTCACTGACATCTGAAAGCCTTAAGAATGTCTAATTTTCTTTCTGGAGAAGTATCACACCTCACTGTGCAATCTAAGCTATTACTGTAACCTTGCCTTAGTAGGAAGCACAAAGTAATCAGTAATGAATTACAGTGTTGGGGGTAGAGAGAAAGCAAATCCTGCTCCCCCAAAACACAGGCTACTGTATACAGTCCTGAACTGGAGCCCAGCAGACCTAGGTTCTGCTGCCAGCTTGACAGGGAACCTTTGACAAATGACTTCGTCTCCACAGATGTTTTCTCAACTGTAAAAATGGTGGAATAGGGCTATATTGGTGCTGTTTTTTTAAAACTTCTGCGGATCTCTGAAGCTATGCAGGAATGAAGTATTTCATTTTCAAAAACAAGAGTCATCATCATCAAAGCTGAAAGAACAAACACTGGAAAGGCAAAAACAATCTCTTGCCTCAGTGGCTCTTAACAGAGGCTGTCAGGAGGATGAGGTCAACTTTCTTGTAAAGTTACAGCAATCTGGCAGTTGAGAAAGCATATACCCACAGCTCCAGCAGAATGGCCAAAGGGCCTAACAGGTCAGCTCCCTCACAACCACTTGAATGATTTTCAGTGGCATCAGTAGCCTTTGAGCTTACCCTAACACAGTCTCAGCTACACTGCTTGTGGGAACACAGGTCAAAAGGTAAGTTCTGACTCCACTAAAGTTTAGATTGCACAATGCACATCGTCAATTTATGTTCCCTGTAATCCTGTTTTTTCAAGCTGTGTTCCAAATTAGTTCCCTCTCTCTAAAGGGGAAATGACATAAATACTATTTACAATGTGAATGGAGTAATTAAAATAAATAGAATAAATAATTTTAAACATGGTATGAATAAACAAATTATTTAGAAGTTTAAGTATTGCATGGCTGATCATTCTATATAATTTACACAATATGTAACCTTTGCACGTATTTAAACTGGATACCTGACTAGCATAGTTCAATTCTAAAGCTAATTATTTATTAAGTTGATAACAGAATTTAATATGTTTTCTTTTGTGCTTCTTCAAGCAGATCACTCTTTAGGAATGGCAAGTTGTTAGCAGTAAAGCATCAGGAACTGTACAGCTAAGACAGAGTTTTATATACAACACATACTGATATCAGCATAGCTATGTCAACATATAAAGTACCATAATTTTTGTCAAAGAAAACTCTTTCATAACAGGTCTCCAGTAATGATGTGATTATACTCACACAACTGATTTCTGGCTATACAACATGGTTTTTTGCACAGTGCTGGAGAGAGACAAGCAGCAGCAACAATACTGACACAGACACACACTTGAAACACTTTACATACAGTTGTTCAAAATGCAAAAGTTCAAAGCTTAAAAATCCACTCTTACTCCTGCAGAGCTTAAGCTGCATATTCATTTGCTATAAAGCTACCAAAGAAACTATTAGATAAATTTAGATACTTACAAGTAAGATGATTCAGTTAGTTTTATTCCAACTACCAAGCTGTCACCCACAACTCGATGCCACAATTTCTCTGTGAAGTGCTCAGGGACATTAGATGCCAATGATGTCTCTTTACTAAGAGAAGGTGGAGGATTCTCTACATCATCCCAGAGAGAGACAAGACCTTCCTTACAGAAAAACAATTTTTTTTTAGGTAGAAGTCAGTAGAGATATTGGTTCTTTTTATACTGCATTACTTCATGCTTTACCAGAAATGAATGCTGGAAGGGCATTTTAGATACATACAATGAAATATATAAAAACTAGTTTATTCTCTATAATAGATTTAAAAGATAGAATTGCATTTTCTTAAAACACAGAATATCATGAAAAGTACAATTCATTCTCTCCTTGTAAGCATCAAATGTCTAAATCTTGACTTGTCATACCATTAACTGTCCAAAGAAGATTTAAGAAGATTAAGGTACTAGAATTTATTTTATATTACTGTATTTAATTGCTTGACATTTTGTTGTCCAAATTTGATTAACTTGGAAGGGACCACAACACTAGCTGAAAGGGAGATCAACTCCATTTCAGTTCAATTAGGAGGCTTCTTTTGAGCAACATATTAAGATAACATTTTCTCAAACTCCACCAACTTAGCCCACAGTTCACTCTGCCCCATTATAAAATCAATTGTGCTCACACAGACCTATGGCAGTTCACATTTTGTATCATGTTAGAATGCAGACAGATATTCAATACCTAGACAGCTGTGCCACTTACTGTACACTCCCCTACTGTTTGTCCCTAACGCTTCCACACAACTCAGTTACCAGGAGATATTGTGCAAATCAATTTCAAGTAAAGACAACTAAATTTACTCTTAACTTCATACTTTGGCAAGTTAAGAACCAGAGACTTAAAAAGTAGATTAATGACTTTTGATAGTGGCAATCCCTACTGGTGACAGTAACAGGTGGCTGAGAGAAGCAGCCTCTACAAAGAGCTCAGCAGAATTCAGTAGTGATCTGTACCATCTTCTGCATTTTACCTGTCTTGCATTTGGTAGAATATGGGTTCTTTCTTCAACAAGATCTATTAATGCTCTGCAAGATTCAAGAATAACCTTCTTTTTGAGTCTTAAATGCTGGAGCAGCTCTCGAACAGAGGTGTGACCTGCCTGTAAAAGATAAAAATGATCATCAGATTTATGCTTAGGTCTACTGCAAATAAGATCTGATATTGAAGCTACCAAAGTATCTTTTCAGCCTTCTATTTTTGTGCAAGGTTCATAGCTCAAGATCCTGGTGTTCCTCAAGTAATGTTTCTATATTCACATCAGGCTGCCAAAATACAAATCTAGGAATTTTGGTCTCTCAATATTAAATATAGAGATAAACATTAAGGTAGACTTTATCAAATTATATAGATATACAACTCTTTCATTATGATTCCTGCTTCACCTTTTCATTGATAGTAGTCAAAATGGCTAAAAATTCACTTGCTGACCAATCTGACTTTTGCAAGCTCTTTCCCCTCATAAAGCAACACAAGAAAGAGACCTGAAAGTTACCACATGGCAAACCCAAGACTGAGCAGTGCCCCCCACCAACTCCCTCTGGCACAAGTGACAGGCACACCTTTCTGCTCTATGCCAAGTTGTACTGCACAACAAAAATCAGCAAAAGTTCCAAGCTTTTCACTGTGAAACTAATAAAACCAGATCACCTTAGAACATAAAAGAAACATTAACATAAAAAAAAGGCAGTCCAGAGACAAACACAGTAGAGCTGTGAGTAAATCCAGCATTATAATCCTTGCAAAACAGTTAAGTACTTGCAGGGGAGAACAGACCAATGGGCATAAAGACAATTCTGACTTGTGGTTTTTCTGCCAAAACAAGCAACTAAAACCACGAGAAATCTTGTAACCTCAGCTGTCATAATGTAACTGCAGTATTCTGCCAAGAAATGTCCTTCAGAAGACACTAAACCATGTGTAAAAGAAGAAAAAAGTCTTCAGAGGAGAAAATGCTGGATTCAGGCCCAAAACAATGTATACAAGATAGACACAGAACAGTTTAAAAATGCACAGTGACAGATCTTTAAATTTCACTACCTGAAAAATGCAACTTAAATTTATTACTGTGTACAACTTAAATACAACCTACTTATATGTGGACCATAATTCAGTCCTGCCAAGGTTCTCACAGTGATGCAGATGTGAAGTAAGGGTTAAGCAACAGAGGATGAAAAAGGGCTGCATCTGCCATTTCATTTTGCTCTAAAATACAAGATTCCACAGAGACTGCAAAAACATGATTTGATTGCAAATTTCTAGAATACCTGAATTTTGATGATAAATACCAAGAGGCAGCACTCCAAGACTAAATAACCTTTGGAAATTCCCAAGCTAAGCAGAACCCATGCACTATTGCTTCAAAACAATCATCCTTGAAATTCAATTAAACGTTAGATTATAAAAACCAGCAAAAGCACTTCACTGTTCAGTAAATCCCATATAAAACAATGGAAGCAACAGCAAGGTTAAAAAGAAATATCTGCACCTACACCCAAATTCATCAGTTTAGCAATTTCAAAGAATTACAGCATTAAAATTGAGGAAGATTTCCATCGTGCTTACAACACTTGTGCTAACATGTGGCCTTGAAAACCAGAGATTAAAAAGATCTAAAAAGAAAGAAATAAATTAGGCCTTATGAAGGATTCTGTGTCTGTAAGCAGAAATCCATCAGCACATGATACATGAAATCTCCAGCCAGTGGTTTATTTCCAGCAGAAGCAGTAAAATGTGCAATCCAGACTATTCATTTGATCCTAACAGATTCACAGAGCTGTACAGCTGGAAGCCAGTTGGTGTATTAAAAGAATAAAGCTATGGGACATAGTTACATAGAACATACAGCTGTCTACAGCAGGTGGACAACTGTGGAAGGAGCAACAAATGAGAGACTGAAACTAATTTCTGTTTTGTAGAAGAAGAAAGTAATGTAATGAGTAGGAGAAGAATGCAGCAGCAAAGAAATCAGTTTTAAAATAGATGACTGCCGAAAAATAAATAAATCCACAAACAGCAAAACATGCATTTGGAAGGAAGCTGCACTAGTGCATATTAAAGCCAAGAGGCCTCTAAGGTGCAAACTGAAGAACTGTAGAAATGCAGGGTTGGAAGGTACCTCAAGAGATCCTCAAAATGAATCCAGTTCTACTTTCTTGTGCCTTCCAGGAAGGAAAAAATGCTTTGCCCACTGTTCTCAAAAAAACTTCTATCTTTTGGAAGATATACAGTATGTCTTTAGACATCTTGTTTGTTATTAGAACTAGAAAAGTCTTTCCTTTTTCAGTCTTTTCCTAGTAAGTTCTCCTTTTATTTATTTATTAACTGGCAAACTATTGCTAGCTAATTTTCTGCATTTTTAAAGGCTGGAAATAAAACTGCCACAATACCCTACTCAAGTTCTCACTAATTCTCAAATGGTGTGAGTAATTACCTCCTATCTTGTCCTTACAGCACTCTTAGCAAACTAACAATAGCCTCACATCATTTACTCAATCTGAGATTTATGCAATCTCCTAAAGTTTTTTTTTAAATAATCTTCCTATTTTGTCAATTATTACCCATTTGTGACAGACCAATACACACACTGCAAAGGAATATCTTGGTGAGTGCTAGGTGTTTACTAACAGGATTAAAGGCAGGTAGAAATTTAAGCCTAAAGAAAGGCAAGGATATATTCCCATTGATTACTTGGACTCTAGCAAGTTTCCTCCAGCTTGTTTTAGAAATGACTCTAATTAAAAGAAGGATACATTTTACCCTTCTCTACTCTTAGCAAATTTATGTTTATAAAACCACTAGTAACAGCAGGAGAAACATCAGCAGGTGGTGAAATAACCACAGTCACCAATTTGTGCAAGAGCAGCTCACTGGGAACCTGGCACTGCACTATCTGAAAGTTATGCAATGTGGAGCAAAAGAAGGAAATGTTCTAATTTTATTAAACTGGTGTTTGAACACCTATGATCAAAATGACTGTTTACAAGCTTTGATAAGACAGCTTCAGTGTTACCTCAAGCTCTTAATTAAAACTAAATTAGACTCTTACAATCACCCAAATGCATTTGTAATAACTCTGAGAACAGACAACACACACTGCCCTTGACTCAAGAACAGATGCTTAAAAATGTTGTCTTTTTCCCCTGAACCCCTTCTCCAACAAAACCAGTATCATTAACCTCACCCTTTAAGTAATGCAGTGATACAGAACAGTAAATTGTAGAAAATATGGAGGCAGAACTGTGGAGTACAAACCTGTAATCTTTTTTCCAAAGCTTTGACAGTAAGCAAACCATTCTCTTGCAATCCTTCTGCAGCAGGAACATCATGCTTATAATTAATACCACTCTGAAAGAAAAAAAAACAAAACCAAAAAAAGCCTGAATGAATTAAAAAGCTGGAAGTAAGGTACAGGGTATTACACAGCATTACAAAAATCGGGGGGAAAATACAGAAAACCAGCAGAAACACCATATGCCTTTTAAAAAAAAAATCTTATCTTCTGAAAGCAAGACCCAATTATGAGAAGATAATTAACAAGCACTATGGCCTTAATTAAGAGTCCTTAGCCAAAAGGTAAGCACTGTAGCAAAACTGTTACATATGTGAAGCATTTTCGACTGCACTAATTTCCCAAAAGAATGTTGATACCATCAAGGTAGTCGAATAATCTCTTCAGATAACTTATGATTTCAGCAGGGAATATTGCATTCAAACTTCCAGGCATTCACAGCACACAGCCAATTTCACTTTGCACCAAGACTTCATGATTTGTTGTGGTTTTCTTACTTTCGTGAGCACACACTGAGGAGCTGAGAAAAGGCAAACTCAACTTACTGTATAGTTGACCCCTCCAAGATCTGTAATTTTGAATGTACTTAACACGTCTGTATTGGAGTCATCCTTAAAAAGCAGTAACAGTTGTTCACATCCAGAGCCAATAAAATCATCCACCAGAACAGACTTCACTTTTTGCCATTTAGAAGCCACCTACAGTGAAAGAAGTTTTAAAATACATTTATTTCCATAAATAAATTTGAGATCTCGTTCTGGTGAAGCTTACTTTTTATAAAGAGGCAGCCTATTCAGGTGTGTGGAGTACAGTAATTTTAAGAAGTTTCAAGCTCTTTTACACCATCATAGCCACTGTAACTCTGGGAAAAATTAGCCATTTCTCTTTCAAAATCCCTTTCCAGAATACAGGTTGCAGAAAAGATGACAATATTCAGTTTACTTAAACAGCTACATAGCTGAATGGTGTAACACTTACTGGGAACCAGTAATACTTGCAGATCAGCTAAAGTCATTATACCTTTGACATTGAGAAATATCTTTGTATCGTTACACACTTAAATAGGTTTGAAAGGTAAAGACAAATTTGTACAATAATGTTGACAACTAAACAGGACAAATTTTCATTTCCTGAGTTATGTAAGTCTTCTTGTCAGACTATTACAAAACCCTAGCCATTAACTTTGTCTCTCCTAACTTCAGGAAACAAGAGTGAGGCCTCTGCTTGTCATCTTCATGAAACAATACTTTTTCTTGCTTGAGTGGGACTCAAAAGGCTTTTATGTTCCATTGAGTAGATTATACTTTGCACTGATAGTAGTTTATTTTCACTCTAATGGAAATTATATAGGCACACTCATAACTGTCTTAAAAGTTCTCACACTACTTCTCAACTAGCAACAGAAGCTTTGGCTCAGATTCATAAATGTGTTATTGCAATCTCAGCTTCATTTTCAGATATATAAGCAAGTAACAAAAGTGAAACAATCTCATACTTTACACAGGATGAACAAGAAATCTAAAGAACTTAAACATCCAATTTTGCAATTGCAGAAACTTCTGATAGAACAGTATATACAAAACAGAGAGCATCAAAATGGAGCTGTTGAAAGCCACCAGTACCTGTAAGCTGTCTCTCCTCTGTACCACACAGCTATTTTCAGAAGCAAAAGACACAATAAACAGCAAATCATTGCCACTGGTTAGAGCTGTTTTTACTGAACATGGTTTCTCATAAGGAAGCTCACAAACACCTTTGGGGAGACCATTTTGGAACCAAATAATTTGGTTCTTTCGTGTTATGGCAACAAGTGATATTTGAAGCTGTTTTTTCAGTCTCTCATTCTTGCAGACGTAGACAGAAGATACCACTCTGCTGTAAGCATTGGGCATGAAGCACGTGCCAGGGAGCACTTTTTGTGTTTCAATTGTGTATCCAAAGAACTCAGTACCCCAGGTGGCTCTGTCTGAAAGAGAAAACTTATCTGCATCTTCACTCTCTGGCAGGCAAGCAGTTCTTATGCCTAAAACAACAGTGCCTTCATCTGCAATTTCACCTGTCCACACAACAGAAGAAAGCTGAACAGGAGCACTTTGAACCACGCTGGTGTTGGAAGAGATGTAGAACAGCTTGTTGGCATGTCTCCACAGCACTGACGGGCCAGCAAACAACCTGATGTCTTCCTTCAGCTCATAATCCAATTTAAAATGAAAGGACTGCTCAAATTGATTTGAGCTATGAAGCAACAATAAAAGGTACTTGACATTGTTCCATTTTTTCTTTTTCAGCAAAACGCAGGGAAGAATAATCCCTGTTCTGGAATCCGTTGTGCAGCCACAACAAACCATTTCAGTTTTCAAGTGACTGGCTCGCATGCTGAACGCTCCAGAGGACTTCTGAACAAACAGCTTAGTGTCTCTGTTGAACACCATTCTTCTGACACACAAATTAGCTGTGTTATCAGCTGGTCCCTCCATGTGGTTTGGCTTTGACAGCTGGAATACAAGGACTTCGCCATTGTAGGACAGGAATTGTTCTTGCTCACCTAGAAGCATCTTTACTTCTCTTCATGCATATTCCTCTACAAAAATAACTGTTTTCATACCCATTTTCGTCAGGGCAATCCCTTTGTGAAAATTTTAACCAATCTGGATGTTTTCCACCTACAAAAGTAAACAAAAAAAAAAGAAATTGTTTTGGGACTAGCTGAACTGATCCTTAAGACTAAGAACAACTATACATTGCATAGCAATGACATGGAGCAATTTGAGAATGAGGTCAGGATGTGCTTGAGTCTCACGGATTAAAATGAAGCTAAGCAATTCTGTACTGAGAGATTTAAGTAACATGAACATTTCAGAAATGTTTATTACCAAAGTATGAATTCTCTGATTATCAACAGCTTATCAACAGCTACACGGTATAATATAAACTGATAGAAACCTAACCACACACTCCCAGTGTGTGATTGAATTGAAGATATAAGTGCCATAAATGCACTGAGCAGACTGGAAAGAAAAGGTGATTCAAATTATCAAATTTTACAGAATCAATCAGGTTGGGAAAGGCCTTTGAGATCATCAAGTCCAATTTATGACACAACACCACCATGTCAACTAGACTATGGCAGCTCAGGGGTGACCTCACTGCTCCCTGTGCTAGAGGATATGGTTTAGGGATTACAGCAGAGTGGCAGGTTAATGGTTGGACATGATGATATTCAAAGTCTCTCCAACCTTGATGATTCTATGATTTCAAGTGCCATGCCCCATCTTTCCTCAAACACCTCCAAGGATGGTGATTTCACCACCTCCCTGGGCAGACCATTCCAATGTCTAATCACCCTTTCTGTGAAGAAATTCTTCTTTATGTCCAACCTAAACTGCCCCTGGCACAGCTTGAGGCTGTGTCCTCTCATCCTGTTGCTAGTTGCCTGGAAGAAGAGATTGATGCCCACTGTGTTACAACCTCCTTTTAGGTACTTGCAGAGAGTGATAAGGTCACCCATGAACCTCCTCTTCTCCAGGCTTAACAATCCCAGCTCCCTCAGCCTCTTCTCACAGGACTTGTGTTCCAGACCCTTCACCAGTTTCATTGCTTTTCTCTGGACTCACTCCAGCACCTGAAGTGCAGGACCCAGAACTGGACATAACAGTCCAGAACCAGACACAGTACTCAGTGTATTATGGAAGCACTACTTAAAAGGCTTCACTTAGGTGCAATGTATATGTTATTCCATATTGCAATACTGAAAACGTTATTATATGCTTATATATATATATCTATAACTCATTTTTTTTTAAAACTATAAAGCCTTGTTAAGCAGGAAGTTCACCGAAGAAGCGTCCAATCATTTCCCGCCAAGCAGACTCATTTTCTCCCTCCCCAGGAAGCCTTCGAGGGCCCCGAGCGAACCACACGCGCCTCACCGAGCTCGGCCCAGCTCTGGGGGTGCGACAC